CCAGGCACTCTCCACATCAACACTGACAAAGAAACAGCAAGAAATACTGTTTACCCACAAGCAGAAAGAAATTACCTATATTAGAAACCCCATCTCCCTGTAGGGACTCAGGATGGCTCACAATATTAAAAAGGCAAATATTCAATGCCATAAAATACAATAATAGACTAAACCATTCAAATAGACAGTACAAACATTCAACCAGATAACTGTCATACACCAGAGCAGGAAATTCTCTGACTTTAAACACAACACCAGCTTAGTAAAATCAGCAAGCAGTTTATTGAAAATATGTAGGCAAAGCAGGAAAATTAAGAAAAACAGCAAAGATCCCAAAACAAAGGATTGTCCACGAGCTTCAAGGCAAAGTAAAAAAAAAACCCACAAGAACAAAGTAAGATCAATTGAAACAACAATCCATGAAACAAGGCAGCATGAAAAATCCAATACACAAATCAGGAGCTTGGCAAAAAGTTGGTACATGAAACTAAGAACACTTGAAAGCAAGACTGCCATGGAATTCCAACGTTGACCCAACTGAGGCAACTCTTTCCCATGAATCAATATAAGGCTTGTCCAGATCCCAAATAATAATAATAATGAATAATAATATTTTATTTGTACCCCGCTACCATCTCCCAAAGAGACTCGGTGCGGCTTACATGAGGCCGAGCCCACAATACAACAACAAAAACAATAGCAATAGTCATGCAAACAATAAATAAACTCATAAATGGAAAATAGCAATAAACATTAACAATAACACATGGCAATGTACTAATTTAAAATTTAAAAAATAATGCTGGGTGTGACCAAAGGAAAGGACATGATCTTCACGGCACGACAGCTCCAAGAAAAAGGCAGGGAACAAAACCAGCCTCTGTACAGGGCATTCATTGACCTCAAAGGCATTCGACACGGAATCACAGCGCACTCGGCACCATCCTCCAGAAAACTGTGTGCCCTGACAAATTTGGGACCATCCTGTGGCTCCTCCACATAATGGCAACAGTCTTGGACAAAATGGCTCCCAAAGTGACCCATTTAAGGTGAAACCAGGTGTCAAACAGGGATGTGTTATTGATATTAACTACACATATCTATAAATAGAATGAAGATATAAAGATGTCCTTTTGCTATAAACTTCAGCAAAAGTACTGGAAAGTGTCTTCTTGTACCTGCAGACTTTGCGCTTAACCACAACCTTTGGCTCAACCACAACACAACTTCCTATGTAGGCTTGAACTTTTGTATGACCTCTACATGTCACATCTTGTTTCTTAAAAACATTTTCTTCCGTGTTGCTCCTTTTCTACGGAGAATTTCATTCAAATTAATTTCATTCAAAGCCCCTTGCTTCGCATTTGCACATTTTACTCAAAGACCCTTTCAGTTCTAAAGCACTTACAAGACTAAAGTTCTGGTGGTGAAAACTAGGGGCGCTGGTGCTTTGCTTCTACAGTGTTTATTTATTTATTTAGAAGTTTTATTTCCCGGTCTTCTCACCTCCGAGGAGGGACTCAGGCCGGTTCACAACATGTGTTCATATACACTAATATAAAAACAGCACAGTGCATCATCATTATACATTAAAATACAAAATACAATAAAATACATCATCACATTACACAAGCCAAGTTGTCAAACACAGTCCCAATTCATCGCCATCCTTCCATGTGGACAAGGGTTATTGACTCAATCATCGAATGCCATATTCCCAAACAACTACCAATGTCCGGTCAGCCTCACGTCGATACCGGGCAAGATTCTGGAAAAGATTGTTAAGGAAGCGGTCTGCAAACACTTAGAAACAAATGCAGTCATCGCTAATAGTCAACATGGATTGATCAAAAACAAGTCATGCCAGACTCATCTGATCTCTTTCTTCGATAGAGCTACAAGCTGGGTAGATGCGGGGAATGATGCCGTGGGTGGAGCGTGTCTGGATTTCAGGAAGGCCTTCTTTGACAAGGTCCCCCATGACCTTCTGGCAAGGAAACTAGTCCAATGTGGGCGAGGCAAAACTACGGTGAGGTGGATCTGGAATTGGTTAAATGGACGAACCCAGAGGGTGCTCACCAATGCTTCCTCTTCATCTTGGAAAGAAGTGACGAGTGGAGTGCCATCAGGGTTCCGTCCTGGGCCCGGTCCTGTTCAACATCTTTATTAATGACTTAGATGAAGGGCTAGAAGGCATGATCATCAAGTTTGCAGATGACACCAAATTGGGAGGGAGAGCCAATACTCCAGAGGACAGGAGCAGGATTCAAAACGATCTTGACAGATTAGAGAGATGGGCCAAAACTAACAAAATGAAGTTCAACAGTGACAAATGCAAGATACTCCACTTTGGCAGGAAAAAAGAAATGCAAAGATACAAAATGGGGGATGCCTGGCTTGAGAGCAGTACGTGTGAAAAAGATCTTGGAGTCCTCGTGGACAACAAGTTAAACATGAGCCAACAATGTGATGTGGCGGCAAAAAAAGCCAATGGGATTTTGGCCTGCATCAATAGGAGCCTAGTGTCTAGATCTAAGGAAGTAATGCTACCCCTCTATTCTGCTTTGGTTAGACCACATCTGGAATATTGTGTCCAATTCTGGGCACCACAATTCAAGAGAGATATTGACTCTAAGCTGGAATGTGTCCAGAGGAGGGCGACTAAATGATCAAGGGTCTGGAGAACAAGCCCTATGAGGAGCGGCTTAAGGAGCTGGGCATGTTTAGCCTGAAGAAGAGAAGGCTGAGAGGAGACATGATGAGGGCCATGTATAAATATGTGAGAGGAAGTCACAGGGAGGAGGAGGGGAGCAAGCTTGTTTTCTGCTTCCCTGGAGACTAGGACGCAATGGAACAATGGCTTCAAACTACAAGAGAGGAGATTCCATCTGAACATGAGGAAGAACTTCCTGACTGTGAGAGCCGTTCAGCAGTGGAACTCTCTGCCCCGGAGGGAGTGTGGTGGAGGCTCCTACTTTGGAAGCTTTTAAGCAGAGGCTGGATGGCCATCTGTCAGGGGTGATTTGAATGCAATATTCCTGCTTCTTGGCAGAATGGGGTTGGACTGGATGATGGCCCAGGAGGTCTCTTCCAACTCTATGATTCTATGATTCTATTCCAAAGCCAGGCTTTTATTAGCTTTCTAAAGGTCAGGAGGGAAGGAGCAGATCTAATTTCTGGTGGGAGGGAATTCCAAAGCCGAGGGGCCACCACCGAGAAGGCCCTGTCCCTCATCCCCACCAGACGGGATTGCGAGGGTGGTGGGACCGAGAGCAGGGCCCCTCCGGAAGATCTTAGTAACCTTGATGGTTTGTAGGGGAGAATCCGTTCGGACAGGTAAACTGGGCCGGAGTTGTTTAGGGCTTTATAGGTCAAAACCAGCACTTTGAATTGTGCTCGGAAGCTGGCAGCCAGTGGAGCTGGCATAACAGAGGAGTCGTATGCTCCCTGTACCTCGCTCCTGTTAGTAATCTGGCTGCCGCTTGTTGGACTAGTTGAAGCTTTCGGGCAGTCTTCAGAGGCAACCCCACGTAGAGAGCGTTGCAGTAGTCTAAACGGGATGTAACCAGAGCGTGGACCACCGTGGCCAAAGTTCTGGTGGTGAAACTTTCAGAACTCTAACACAACTTTCAGAATTTCATGATAAATGGCATTTCCTAATAGGTTCTGTCATAAAAAACACCAATAATGAAATAATCATGAAATTTTGAAAGTTTTGTAAGAGTTCTGAAATTTTCACCACCAGAACTTTAGCAACTCTGTAGAAGCAAAGCACCAGCGCCCCCCTAGTTTTCACCACCAGAACTTTAGTTTTGTAAGTACTTTGGAACCATTTAGAAGCATGGTTGCCTATTCCTAGTGTTTACACAGGCAGAGCCAGGAAAGAGGCAAGGCAAGCCCCGCCCCTTCTCGGCCAAACCACGCCTCCTTCAAACGATATCAAGGGGTCGTGGCGTTCAGAAGGTGGAGAACCACTGGTTTAGGGCTTTATAGGTTAAAGCCAGCACTTTGAATTGGGCCCGGTAGCAATTTAACCTCAGCAAACTGAAAGCCAAAACTGTCTTTAATAGAACTCCAATATGCTGATGATAAGGTAGTCTGTGCGCATTCAGAAGAAGACCTACAAGCCCTTTAGAGAAGCCTAGGAGAAGCTTGGCCTGTCATTGAACATGAAGAAGACCCAAGCGCTCTTTGAACAACCCTACTGCAATAACTCCAATATGCTGATGATAACGTAGCCTGTGCGCATTCAGAAGAAGACCTAGAAGCCCTTTAGAGAAGCCTAGGAGAAGCTTGGCCTCTCACTGAACATGAAGAAGACCCAAGCGCTCTTTGAACAACCCTACTGCAATAACTCCAATATGCTGATGATAACGTAGCCTGTGCGCATTCAGAAGAAGACCTAGAAGCCCTTTAGAGAAGCCTAGGAGAAGCTTGGCCTCTCACTGAACATGAAGAAGACCCAAGCGCTCTTTGAACAACCCTACTGCAATAACTCCAATATGCTGATGATAACGTAGCCTGTGCGCATTCAGAAGAAGACCTAGAAGCCCTTTAGAGAAGCCTAGGAGAAGCTTGGCCTCTCATTGAACATGAAGAAGACCCAAGCGCTCTTTGAACAACCCTACTGCAATAACTCCAATATGCTGATGATAACGTAGCCTGTGCGCATTCAGAAGAAGACCTAGAAGCCCTTTAGAGAAGCCTAGGAGAAGCTTGGCCTGTCATTGAACATGAAGAAGACCCAAGCGCTCTTTGAACAACCCTACTGCTGTCAGGAATTGTGGGAGTTGGAGTCCAAAGCACCTGGGTGGAGAGGTGAAGTAGGCCCAGGCCTTGCTCTGGACTTGCCAGAAGGTGTGTTGTTGACATGGGGAGGCAAGCCCCGCCCCTTCTGGGGCAAGCCACGCCTCCTTTCCGGCTCCCTCCCCTTTGTTGTCCCCTGGAAGCCCCGCCCCTTCCCGTCCTCGGCCAATGGGGCGCCTTCCCCGCGCGGAGGCTTCTGGGTACGCGGCCTAGTGCCACCGCTTCCCTCAGTGGACGCAACATGGAGGGCAGGCCGGCCTCGACGCCAGGGCAGGCCGCGGGGGAGAGTAGCGGAGGAGCAGGAGCAGGCCCGGCGAGGAGGCCCACCCGGCTGCCCTCGGCGGGGAGCGGCGGGGCGACCACCACGACAACGGCCTCGGCCTCCTCGTCCCGTCAGCCGAGCGTCGAGGCCCTCGACAGGTGAGCACAGCAGGACGCGCGGCCTACCTCCCTCCCTTCCTCCCTCCCTTCCTTCTCTAGCGCCTCCTCATGGGAATGAAGGTTGGCCTTGGCCTGCAGGAGGAGGAGTTGGAAGGCAGGCCCCAAAGGACACCCTCAAACCACACACACAGAGGCCCACCCAGCCTCTGCTTCATCATCATCATAATCGAGCTGGAGGAGACCCCAAAGGCCATCCAGTCCAACCCCATCATGCCCTGCGGGAAATCAAAGCATCCCCGACAGATGACAGCCCAGCCTCTCCTTCACAATCAAGGCGGAGGTGGGCGAGCGAGCGAGCGAGCGAGCAAGCGAGCGAGGCGAGCAAAGAGCGAGCGGCGGCGAGGCGAGCGAGCAGCGAGCGTCGGCGAGCGACGCGAGGGCGGAGCTAGCGGCGGCTGCTATCTATCGAGCTAGCGAGCGAGCCGCAGCAAAGCGTCGCGCGGCGCGCGAGCGAGCTGCGTCGGCCATGGCGAGCTAGCGAGCTAAGCGAGCGTCGAGCGAGCGGTGGCGAGCGATGCGAGGAAGCTCGCATTCGGCTAGCATCGAGTCGCTAGCGAGCGATCGTCCGGCGAGCGGCTGGCGATCTATCTATCTATCTATCTATCTATCTATCTATCTCTATCTATCTCTACCTATCATCTATCTATCTATCTATCTATCTATCTATCTATCTATCTTCTATCTATCTATCATCTATCTATCTCTTTTTAAATTGTTATTGCACTGTCTTTTTTGTCTAACTCTATCTATCTCTTCTATCTATCTATCTATATCTATCTATCTTCTATCTATCTTCTATGAAATGAAGATTGGCCTTGGCCTCGAGGAGGAGGAGGAGGAGGAAGGCAGGCCCCAAAGGACACCCTCAAACCACACACACACAGATGGCCAGCCAGCCTCTGCTTCCTCATCATCATCATAATCATAATCGAGCTGGAGGAGACCCCAAAGGCCTTTAAAGCCCTAAACGGTTCTGGCCCAACTTATCTATCTGAACGTATCTCAGCCTATCAGCCCACCAGGACCCTAAGATCTTCTGGAGAGTCCCTGCTCTCTATCCCGCCGGCTTCACAAGTGCGGCTGGCGGGAACGAGAGACAGGGCCTTCTCTGTGGTGGCCCCTCGGCTTTGGAACACCCTCCCTTTAGAGGTACGATCAGCCTCCTCGCTGATGGTGTTTCGGAAGAGATTGAAAACATGGTTGTTTAAACAAGCATTTGGCTAATACGTTGCAACCGAATGTTGATGACTAAAGGACTGGCAATCATGGACGACGAATTTTGGATTGAGATTTTAGTTACGAGATGCATGGGATTATTATTGGTGGCCCAATAATTTGTATTGTAATTGTGTTTCATGTTTTTAAATTGGTATTGTTTTTAATTGTTGTAAACCGCAATGAGTCGCCGACTTAGGCTGAGATATTAGCGGTATACAAGTCTATAAATAAATAAATAATAAATAAACCACACACACAGAGACCCACCCAGCCTCTGCTTCACAATCATCATACTAATCGAGCTGGAGGAGACACCAAAGGCCATCCAGTCCAACCCCATCATGCCCTGCGGGAAATCGAAGCATCACCGACAGATGACAGCCCAGCCTCTCATTCATAATGATGATAGTCATCTTCTTCTATCTATCTATTTATCTATCTATCTAAATAAAACTGTAATGTTCGCTTGTGGGCTTAACATAACTCGGAAACCACTGGATGAATTGCCGCCAAATTTGACCACAAGACACCTACTAAGCCAAGGAGTGACCATCACTCAAAAAAATTGATTTTGTCAGGTTGTTGTAGGTTTTTTGGAGCTATATGGCCATGGTCTAGAGGCATTCTCTCCTGATGTTTCGCCTGCATCTATGGCAACCATCCTCAGAGGTAGTGAGGTCTGTTGGAACTAGGAAAAGGGGTTTATGTACCTGTGGAATGACCAGGGTGGGACAAAGGACTCTTGTCTGCTGGAGCTTGGTGGGAATGTTTCGAAACCGGCCCGGTTTACCTCTCCGAACGTATTCTCCCCTATGAACCATCAAGATTATTAAGATCGTCTGGAGAGGCCCTGCTCTCGGTCCCACCGGCCTCGCAAGCGTGTCTGCTGGGGACGAGGGACAGGGCCTTCTCGGTGGTGGCCCTGCGACTCTGGAACTCTCTCCCACTGGAGGTCAGAACCGCGCCTTCTATCCTGACATTTAGGAAACAGGTGAAGACTTGGCTATGGAAACAGGCATTCGACAAATGAGCCAACACCCTGAGATATGGATGGAGGATGATGAGCAATGATTTTAGTGCGACGACCGACCATTATAGTTATTGATTGTAATTGCTGTTTTAATGTTTTACTGTAATATGTATTATGATGTTTTAATGATTGTATGTGATATTATGGTTGGAAACCGGTCTGAGTCCCTCAAGAGAGGTGAGAAGGCCGGTATACAAAACTTTTAAATAAATAAATAATAAATAAACTGACCACCTTGATTAGCATTTGATTGCCTGGCAGTGCCTGGAGCAAACTTTTCCTGAGAGGTGATTAGATGTCCTTGTTTGTTTCCTCTCTGTTGTTGTGCTGTTCTAATTTTAGAGTTTTTTTAATACTGGTAGCCAGATTGTGTTCATTTTCATGGTTTCCTCCTTTCTGTTGATGTTGTCCACCTGCTTCTTGTGTATTTCAGTGGCTTCTCTGTGTAGCCTGACATGGTGGTTGTGAGAGTGGTCCAGCATTTCTGTGTTCTCAAATAAAATGCTGTGTCCAGGTTGGTTCCTCAGGTGCTCTGCTATGACTGATTTCTCTGGCTGAAGGAGTCTGCAGTGCCTTCCATGTACCTTGATGCGTGTTTGGTGGTCCCTCTGGAGACTTCTTGTCCACAGCTGCATGGTACATGGTAGACTCCTGCAGAAGTGAGAGGATCCCTCTTGTCCTTTGCTGAACGTAGCATTGGTTGGATGTTCTTGGTGGGTCTGTAGATAGTTTGTATGTTGTGTTTCCTCATCATCTTCCCTATGCAGTCAGTGGTCCCCCTTGATGTATGGCAAGAACACTTTTACTTTTCCTACATAGGGACCACCAAAGGCAGCAGCATGGGCCAAACACAGATCAAGGAACACGAAAGGCACTGCAGACTCCTTCAACCAGAGAAATCAGCCATAGCAGAGCAGCTGAGGAACCAACCTGGACACAGCAGATTATTCAAGAACACAGAAATGCTGGACCACTCTTACAACCACCATGTCAGACTACACAGAGAAGCCATTGAAATACACAAGAAACATGTGGACAATTTCAACAGAAAGGAGGAAACCATGAAAATGAACAAAATCTGGCTACCAGTATTCAAAAACTCTGAAATTAGAACAGCACAACAACAGAGGAAACAAACATGGACATCTAATCACCTCTCAACAGAAGATTCCCCCAGGCACTTCCAAGAGATTATGCTAATCAAGGTGGTCAGTTGAAACATTCACACCTAGCTCCAGCAGACAAGAGTCCTTTGTCTCACCCTGGTCATTCCACAAATATATAAACCCTTTTTCCTAGTTCCAACAGACCTCACTACCTCTGAGGATGCTTGCCATAGATGCAGGCGAAACGTCAGGAGAGAATGCCTCTAGAACATGGCCATATAGCCGGAAAAACCTACAACAACCCAGTGTAAAAAGTCATTTGCTGGTCTTTTCCTTTGTCCATTTTTTTAGTCGACACTATTTGCAGCGTTCTTTTCCATTTCTCAGAATCTGGCATCCTTCTTGGATTTAGACGCCTGCCATTTTTGACTGTTTCAGCAAATAGTTTGCATGCTTTCCCTCAGTGCTTAGGCATTCCCAGAGAAAGAGCCTCTCACTAAGGTTGAAGAATGCTTCACGGGCCGTCCTGTTTGTGAATGTACGGTCTCACTCACTCAAAGACCCGTGTTGCAATTTTTATACTTTATTTTTTTGCAGCTTCTACACACAATTTTTCATTGAAAGAGATGCCTAGATTGGTCAGAATATTCAATTCACATCTGCTTGTTCAAGTTCCAAGATTTCTTCAGTATTGTTCATCCCATAGTTTTGTTTCCTCCATTGTTTGGGAGAAACCGTTCCCCATATAACATTTAAAAATTCTTCTGTGAAGACTGTTTGTCAGGACCCAGAAGCCTTAAACAACGCCAGACACAGAATAAAGGTTCAAACACAACTTTATTGCAAATAAAAGGACCTACAAAGCACTTAACTTCAGTGCTAAGGCCCGCTGGAGCAATATGGCACCAAAAATAAGTCGATAGGAGTAACAAAAATATAATCCGGATTATAGCACTGCCTAATAATCCGGATTAAACAAAAGATGAAGCAAATTGCTTGAAAGTCAAAATAGCACAAAAACACAGTCTTTGAAGCTGAAAAAACGTGGTTTCAAAACTAAGAATTGGTACAGTCACAAAAATATTAGCATACAAAGTCCAGAAGTCCAAAAGCGAAGTCAAAGCGGTCCGTGGTCAGTCCGTTGGGAAGCAAGGCTGGAACACTGGAGTCACCGAGGAAACAGGAGTACAGGAACACACAAAGCTAAAGCCCAGGACCCAAGGTGGAAAGTTGGCAGTACAAAGAATTATGTCCTATGTAGACACTTTGCCTTCTGCGAAATATAGTTCAAACTGAACCCACTTTTATCTCAAAGTTCTTCCTCAGAGCTTGATGAGCTCCCCACCCTCTCGTCATCACTCTCAGCTGCTCCCAAACCTGCAGCTGAATGCCCATCCCTCCACCTCTGCCAACGATTATCAGGGTTCAGATCCTGCCAAGAGTCCCCTGGCTGCCAATCCCCAGTGAACCCCTCAAATTCCTCACTAGAGGTGGGTTGGTTACAGATATCCCTTATGTGTTGCACACGGGTCCAATCTAATTCCTCTTCTTCTTCCATATCACTCCCAGACCCAGAACTCCTTTCAAACCCAAGGAAATCTTCATCCTCTGTTGGTGCACAAAGTATTTCCCGAATACGCTTCCTTTGTAATTCCCCTTCAGACTCTGGCTCACGAGCAGCCCTCTTTACACCTCTGCTCACTTCCCCATCTCACAATCGGAGAAACCTGGAAACGTATCAGTATCGCTTGGAGCCATAATGATTTCCCTAATGTGCTGACGCTGCTGTTCTCCCTCCGACTCCAAAGTAGACCCGTTCTCCCTGCTACTAGGAGTAGCAACTCGAGCAACACGCTGAACTACAACACTGTTGCTCTCTCCATTTTGGAGTCAGAGTTACAGAGTTATTATTATTATTATTATTATTATTATTATTATTATTTACAGTTTTTATATTCCACCCTTCTCACCCCGCAGGGGACTCAGGGCGGATTACAGTGTACACATATATGGCAAACATTCAATGCCAATTTTTGACATACAAACATATACAGACATACACAGAGGCTATTTAACTTTTTCTGGCCGCCAGGGGAGCTGTCGCTTTCATCGTCCATCTGCGACGCTGATGAAGCACTTCCGCATTCCCCGCATGCTTCCCCGCTGGAATGCTTTGCTGGAGTCTTCTTTATGGCCTCAGAAATTAGTCAATTTAGCCTCCCCACACTTTAAGGTGGTACCTAATGTTCCTACTTGAGAGATGCAACTGTCTTTCGGGTTGCAAAGGTCGACAACAGGCTACACATAATTGGTTGGAAACCCACTCCAACCCGGGCTGGCTTCGAACTCATGACCTTTTGGTCAGAGTGATCTTAAAGCAGCTGACACTCAGTCTGCTGCGCCACAATCCCGGAGTTCTATCGGATTTATACCATCTACTCTAAGGGTCCTCAAACTAAGGCCCGGGGGCCGGATACGGCCCTCCAAGGTCATTTACCTGGCCCTCGCTCAGGGTCAACCTAAGTCTAAAATGACTTGAAAGCACACAACAACAACAACAACCCTATCTCATCAGCCAAAAGCAGGCCCACACTTTCCATTTAAATACTAATAACTTTATATTTGTTAAACTAGTTCTTCATTTTCATTTTTGTAGTTTTTCAGTGTTTTTGCACTATAAATAAGATGTGCAGAGTGCATAGGAATTAATTCATGCTTTTTTTTCAAATTATAATCTGGCCCTCCGTCAGTTTGAGGGACGGTGACCTCTGTTTAAAAAGTTTGAGGAGCCCTGATCTACTCCATCAAGGCACACTTGGAACAAAGCAATAACCACTCTGTTTGCTGCAGTTTATGGTACTTTCAAGGAAATGTCCTTTGCATGTTCCCGACACAAATCCCTGGAAATGGAGGTTCCTTTCCAATTTTATTTTTATTTGAAACTAGCCGTCCCCTGCCACGCATTGCTGTGGCCCAGTCTGGATATCTGGAAAATAAAATAATGCGAAAATGCTGGTTTCTAATATATGTAATTTCTTTCTGCTTGTGGGTAAACAGTATTTCTTGCTGTTTCTTTGTTAGTGTTGATGTGGAGACTGTCTGGTTTGCATACTCTGGAACAGGGGTCCACAAACTTTTTCAACAGTGGGCCAGGCTACAGTCCCTCAAACTGTTGGAGGGCCGAATTATAATTTGAAAAAAGCATGAATGAATTCCTATGCACATGCCACATATCTTATTTGTAGTGCAAAAAACACTTACAAACAATACAATAATTAAAATGAAGAACAATTTTAACAAACATATTTATTTATTTATTTATTTATTTATTTTGTATTCTTCTACCCCGCCCTTCTCAACCCCCGAGAGGGGACTCAGGGCGGCTTACAAAATGGCACAATTTGGTGCCTACACAAATACAATAACATATAAAAACAGCAATTAAATGGTTAACAATTAAAACAACAATATATCTCACAGATGATAGCCAATCTCAAGCACAGCGTTCGCCAACTCAGGGTCCATACTTCGTTCCAAATTGTCTATTCCTATCCGTCGTCGCAGTCCTTTATTCATCTGCCAGATTGCCCAAACGCCTGGTCCCACATCCATGTTTTAAATTTCTTTCTGAAGGAAAGGAGTGATGTCACTGATCTAATTTCCTCGGGGAGTGAATTCCATAGGTGAGGAGCCACCACCGAGAAGGCCCTCCTCCTCGTCCCTGCCAATCTCACTTGTGACAGAGGCGGGGCCGAGAGCAGGGCCTCCCCAGAGGATCTCAGCCTCCGAGATGTGGCCAGACCTGACTTCCCAAGGTACGGCGCAGCTGGCGCACAAGTTTTAATTGTGCAAAAGCTCTCCCGTCGACCGCCGAGACCTGGGGTTCCAGGCTCAGCGATGAGTCCAGGATCACTCCCAAGATTTTCCCTCAATTGGCACGAAATCTTGAAGAAGTGTGTATTTTTATGAACCTTTCATTTGATCACTAAGAACAGCAGGCCTTTGGCTAAATGAGTTGTTTGTCTTTTGTTCTTCCAGTCCCACAGGATCCCATGTGGAATGGTGCAAGCAACTCATTGCTGCTACGATTTCCAGCCAGATTTCGGGTTCCGAGACTGTACCCAGAGACTACCGAGTAAGTCTGCTCATTGACCTATTTAAGAAGCCTATTTGCTGCTATACATACCAGCGCTGAAAAGAAAATAGAGAAGATGATGAGGGGCAAGAATATGACATAGGGACAGCAAAACTCTTCAGGTGTGTTGATATATGTGTCAGGTATGCCAACACAGGAAAATGTCCCATAGCATCCCCCCAAGATTTGGTTTCATAGACACACTCAGCTTCTGAACCTCACTAGTCCTGATGCATCTATACTCCTGATATCTGTATTATTTATATAAATAAAAATGTAATGCTCATTCGTGGGATTAATCTAACTCAAAAACCACTGGATGAATTGAGACCAAATTTGGACACAATACACCTATCAGGCCAACGAGTAAAAACACTGAATAACTCAGCAGAAGAGACTTTAAAACCCAAAAAACAAAAATTATTATTTATTTATTTACAGCTTTTCTGTTCCGCCCTTCTCCTCACCCCGCAGGGGACTCAGGGCGGATTACAGTGTACACATATATGGCAAACATTCAGTGCCAATTTTGACATACAAACATATACAGACATACACAGAGGCTATTTAACTTTTTTCTGGCCATCAGGGGAGCTGTCGCTTTCCTCGTCCATCTGCGACACAGATGAAGCACTTCCGCATTCCCCGCATGCTTCTCCGCTTAATGCTTTGCTGGAGTCTTCTTTATGGCCTCATAAATCAGTTAATTTAGCCTCCCCATACGTTAAGGTGGTACCTTATTTTCCTACTTGACAGATGCAACTGTCTTTCGGGTTGCAAAGGTCGACAACAGGCTACACACAATTGGTTGGACACAAGACCCCTCTCAGGCCAACCATCACTCATAAAAACACTGCACAAAACCACATATATACACATATACACAAATATATACACACACAAAACACATATACACAGACTGGGCCCCAGCAACGAGTGGCAGGGGACGGCTAGTAATAAATATAAATAAATAAATAACTACACATTCAGAATTTCCATTAGCTTCCTCCTCCATAGCTAAAGAATGGGTGAAATCCTGGGGATCTTGGGAATCATACCATTATGGATATCTTATGTATTTTCCCCTGAAATGATTTAAAAAACAAATGATATTAAAACTTCCATGTCGAAGGCTACTGAAGAAGCATCACCACGCTTTGCTATCAGAATATTCCTTGGTTTAAGTGGCAGCATGTTCTAAGTCTTTTTTGCTTTTTGACGGATTTCATCAGAGAGGTGAAGGGGAATCAAAAGTAAGGAAAAACACCTTCCGGCTCCTTCTGAGCCCTTGATATGGTTTGTGTCACGTTGGGCTGTAAAAAGAGGGGGCGAAAGGTAGAGTTGCCCTAATTCAGTGTTTCTCAACCTGGGGGTCGGGACCCCTGAGGGGGTCGTGAGGGGATGTCAGAGGGGTCACCAGAGACCATCAGACAACACAGTATTTTTTGTTGGTCGTGAGGGTTCTGTATGGGAAGTTTGGCCCAAATCTATTGTTGATGGGGTTCAGAATTTCCTTTGATTGTAGGTGAACTATAAATCCCAGCAACAACAACTCCCAAATGCCAAGGTCTATTTTCCCCAAACTCCACCATTTGGGCATATTGAGTATTCATGCCAAGTTTGGTCCAGATCCATCATTGTTTGAAGCCACAGTGCTCTCTGGATATAGGTGAACTACAACTCCAAAACTCAAGGTCAAGTGCCCACCAAGGCCTTCCAGTATTTTCTGTTGGTCATGGGAGTTCTGTGTGCCAAATTTGGTTCGATTCCATTGTTGGTGGAGTTCAGAATGCTCTTTGATTGTAGGTGAACTATAAATCCCAGAAACTACAAATCCCAAATGACAAAATCAGTTCCTCCACCCCACCCCCCACCCCAAGTATTCAGATTTGGATGTATCAGGTATTTGTGCCAAATTTGGTCCAGTTCAATATGAGGAACTAGATTAAGGGGTCGCGGCATTAGGAAGGTTGAGAAGCACTGCCCTAATTGGAATTGGTGACTTGTTGGATAATATCTGTATTTTAACTGGCAGGTGTTCAAGAGGCCTACTCTAAGGGTAAGGATCCATGTGGTTACCAGCGAGCCAGCCTCTGGCCTGTTTGTGTTTGTGTGCTGTGTTGACAACTCCGTGTGCCTCCTCAGTGTTCTTCTGTATTTCATTAACGGTTGTTTCAGACCCGTCGGGCCATCTTGCTATGCCGTGCAACAGCTTGTTTGCAATCGAGATGTTTTATGTACATTCCAGAGTTTCCATGAGCAATAAAAGCCAGAGTGTGAGAGTTATGTTGAAAATGCACGGTATTAACTTAAGTTTTATTGCATTAATTCTGACCAATTCAATCTTCTCGACTGATGCGCACATGCTTTAGGCTACAGAGTACCTATATATTCACAGCGTAAACGTGTTCTCTGTGTTGAAGACATTGGAAGGAGACATCTAAGAGAAAGCAATGAGTCTTTTTTCAAATCCTATTTAAGTAAGATTTCAATCCATGTCTGCATTTATGTACATTATGATGCTTTTATGCAAACGTGGCCTTAATTGCTAGACACTTGGTGCAAAATTCTAAAACTGAGGGGTTAGCTCTTTCTTCCTCAGCAGGTGCTTACTTCTTGCTTAGCTTTCTGTACTTCTGGTGTACCTTTCACATAACACCAATCATATGTTTGTGGCCTTTCTTCTGTATAATAATAATTAATAATAATAATAATAATAATAATAATAATAATAACTTTACTTATATTCCGCTCTATCTTCCCAAAGGGACTCATAAACATAAAAGGCAAACATTCAGTGCCCAAATACAACAATACATCCATACTAACAAAATTTATACAACCCAACATATACTGTATTTATACAACCCAACATATACCTCTTATGAGCTGAGTCCCTCTTATGAGGTGAGAAGCTCGGTATATAAAACTTTGAAATAAATAATAAATAAATATGTATATACTCGAGTATAAACCTAGTTTTTCAGACCTTTTTTTAGGCTGAAAAAGTCCCCCTCGGCTTATACTCGAGTCAAGGTTATATAATAATAATAATAATTATTATTATTATTATTATTATTATTATTATTTGTACCCCACTACCATCTCCCGAGGGACTCGGTGCGGCTTACATGAGGCCGAGCCCACAACACAACAATAACAATAACAAATAATACAAAAACAATACAAAACTCATAGCAAAATAAGCAAAAACAATAACAATAAAAAGACGCGTTTAAAAACCTATGGCTGGGCCAAATGCAATAACTAAAATTTTTAAAAATAATGCTGGGTATGAACAGGTAGCATGTAATTGGAATAAAGGTTTTGAAGAGGGAAGAAATGTGCAGACAATCCAAAATCTTTATTAAAGTGTGTTTGAGGACATATTGCTGGGAGTTTCCGTATTCTGAGAAGGCACACTGAAACAGCCACGTTTTCAGGCTCCTCCTAAAGACTGCCAGAGTTGGGGCTTGTCTAATATCCCTGGAGAGTGAGTTCCAGAGTCGAGGGGCCACCACCGAGAAGGCCCTCTCCCTCGTCCCCACCAATTGTGCTTGCAATGCAGGTGGGAGTGTGAGTAGGGGCTCTCCAGATGATCGAAGAGATTGTGTGGGTTTGTACACAGAAATGCGGTCACGCAGGTAGGCAGGTCCCAAACCGTTTAGAGCTTTGTAGGTAAGAACCTGCACCTTGAATTGGGTCCGGAAAATAAATGGCAGCCAATGGAGCTCCTTAAACAGGAGGGTTGACTGCTCCGTGTCAGGAGCACCTGTTAATAACCTGGCTGCTGCCCATTGGACCAACTGAAATTTCCGAGCTGTTTCCAAGGGCAGTCCCACGTAGAGTGCATTACAGTAGTCCAATCTGGAGGTGACTAAAGCATGGACCACCCTGGCGCACTAGTCTTAATTGTGCAAAGGCCCTCCCGGCCACCGCCGACGCCTGAGCCTCAAGCGTAAGTGATGAATCGAGAAGAACAGCCATACTGCGGACCTGTGACTTCAGGGGGAGTGCAACCCCGTCCAACACAGGTTTGCAATATTAGGCAACTCTTCAGCAGGGACTATAAGCAGCAGTACTATAAATTGTGTTAATGTTTCTCGTGGGGACAGAAAATATTCAATAGCTGGATCTTAAGATGGTTGCATGGACTCTCTCTTTGCTCCTGTAATGTGCTGTAATTGGTTTCTTCTGTGGTTTTAAGCATGTGACCTACTTTTATACTCTGCTGTTTTGGGGGTTGTTTGTTTCCAAAGGGCAGTACATACAACAGAAACGTTCCCGTTCATCCTAATTGGGCTTCACAGTTTCCAAAGCTTCATGGATTCTAAAAATCTGATCATAGATGTTTATGCTGAAGTATCTACTGTCTCTTTTTGAGAAAAAAAAATACATTCTGTCCTTTCACGTGTTCTGTGCATGTTTTTTCCCCTTTTCCTTCTGCTTGCCCACTGCTGCATCATGCTATTCAGGAGATTCAGGATGGACACAATGGCTATACTTCTGACGCAGAAGTTGACCAGGTGCCAAGTTTTACTCATTCTTTGTTCTCTAACTATGTAGTTTGTCCCTGTTAGTGCCGGAGGTGTCAACAGTCTTCTCTTTATTACCTAGATGGCAAAAAAGAAGAAGAAGAATTTAACTTTTTCTGTATGTCCTTCAAAAGTGTTTCTGGCCTTTGGTCTTTTTGGTTTTTCCGTCAGGATTTCATCAGTCACTTCTAGTGATCCATTAAATCTAGTGGATTGTTTAGAGCAGAGTTGTGTACTAGTATAACTTGTAATGTAATATATACAGTCAGGCTTCCACATGTGCTGGGGTTAGGGCAGGTATGGGTAAATTCAGGCTCAGGCCCTCCTGTGTCTCACCATCCTGTCCTTCCCTTCTCTCATTCCTTCCTTTCTCTCTTTCCTTCCTCCCTTCCCTCCCTCTTTCTCCCTCCTTCCTTCCTTCCTTTCCAGCCTTTCGTCCTTCCTTCCTTCCCTCTCTCCCTCTTTCTCCTTCCTTCCTTCCATATTCTCTTTCCTCCTTCCATCTTTCTCCCTCCATCCATTGCCTTCCACCCTTTTGTCCTTTCTTCCCTCACTCTTTCTCCTTCCATCCCTCTCTTCCACCCTTTCTGCCTTCTTTCTCCCTTCCCTCCATCTCTCCCTCTTTCTCTTTCCTGTCTTCCTTATCTTTTGTCTTTCCTTCCTTCCCTCTTTGCTCCCTCCATCCTTCTTTTCATCTTTTTCATTCCATCCTTCTCACCCTCCCTTTCCCCCTCTTCCTTCCCTTTTCTTCTCTTTCCTCCCTCCTTCTCTTCCTTTCTTCCTTCCCTCCCTCCCTCTTTCTCCCTCCATCCATTTCCTTTCCATCCTTTTCTCCTTTCTTCCCTCACACCTTCTCCTTCCATCTTTCTCTTCCGCCCTTTCTTCCTTCCTTCCCTCCCCCTTCCCTCCCTCCCTCTCTCCCTCTTTTTCTTTCCCGTCTTCCTTCCCTTTTGTCTTTCCTCCCTTTCCTCTTTGCTCCCTCTTCCTCTTGCTCCTTTCATCCTCCCCTTCCTTCCCTCTTTCCTTTCTCCTTTCCTTCCATCCATCACTGGGCAGCCAGTCCTCCTTGCAGGGAGTGCTCGCATTCAGCCCCCAAGTTAGAAAGTTTGCCCAGGCCTGGGTTATGGGCACCGTGGGAAAAACACCTTCTCTAAGAATCTTTAGCTGGTGACTCTATAGTCAACTTCCCACTGGAAGCTGGCCATAAAATTACTTTGGATTTCTACAGTGTTGTTAAACTGAATGAAACATTGATGTATGTAGTATAAAAAGAACCTCTCAATGTATAAATACGTTGAAAAACTTCAGAGTTGTGAGTTGCAAGAATGCCTGGTGGGGTATGCTTGCAAAATCTCACCGCAACATGCTGTGGGGCCTGTGTGTAAACAAAGTCCTACAGTTTGCAGTACTTGCAAAAAAAATCCCATTCTGTGTGTGCAAATACAGATAGCTGAGCTGTTGTTGTTTGGAGCTGTCCAAGTTATTTCCCAACTTTGGGCAATCCATGGGGTTTTCTTGGTAAGGTTTCCTCTAGGGCCGATTTGCCCAAGGCCAGGCAGAGTGTTTCCGTGGCTGAGCAGGGTCTTCCAAAGCCCAGCCCGCCAACTACTTTGTCGGTAGTCGCACATCCCTTTCTGCAATGCTTTGCTGCTAATTGGTGTTTGGCTAATCTCTGCTTGTATTCTGCACATGCCTAACTAACCAAACCCTTTTGGATTCAGATAAACGGCCTCGAATTGGAGCAGACTTACTCTTAACTAGAGCGAAGAGATCAGGAACAGGGTACTCCATTCTTACCCTTTTCAAGCTTGGGAGTCTCCACCCAGAATTCACCTAAACTTTTTAATTTGCAGCAGTATTCATGATGCTGGCATTGCTGACCAGGCTCCTTTCTTAACCCGAGGCCTGAGCCATTTTCAGATTACGGCCAAGCGATTATAGTTTGCTCCTTTTGCCATTTCCGATTAAATTGCAGAAATGAGGCAGGTGGCAAAAAAAATTTGTAAAGATAGATAAGTGTGTGTCTGCTCCGTCCCAGGCTCTGCTTTGAGACGAAAGGACCTTGGTGTGTGTTGTTCCTGTAACCTCCTAGTGAAAGCCCCTTGTAGTTGTTGTTGTTGTTGTTGTTGTTGTTGTTGTTGTTGTTGTTGTTGTGCGGTGGAGCCGTGCAAGTGGAGCGGGAGGTTGACATCTGCCTTTGGCTCTTTGCCAGGTGCTGAGGGATGCCAACAAACTGGCCCAGATGGAGGAAGCCCCGCTTTTTCCTGGAGAATCAATCAAAGTGATCGGTAAGTGGAGTGTCGAAGGCTTTCATGGCCGGAATCACTGGGTTGTTGTTGGTTTTTTCAGGCTATAAGGCCATGGTCTAGAGGCATTTTCTCCTGACGTTTTGCCTGCATCTATGGCAAGCATCCTCAGAGGTAGTGAGGTCTGTTGGAACTGGGGAAAAAAGGTTTATATATCTGTGGAATGACCAGGGTGGGACAAAGGACTTGTCTGCTGGAGCTAGGTCTGAATTGGTCATCTGGGTTACATGTGGAAAGTTAGGTCCAATTCTATTCTTGCTGGGGTTCAGAATGCTCTTTGATTGTAGGTGAACTATAAATCCCAGCAACTACAACTCCCAAATGTTAAGGTCTATTTTCCACAAACTCCACCAATGTTCACATTTGGGCATATGGAGTATTTGTGCCAAGTTTGGTCCTGATCCATCATTGTTTGAGTCCACAGATGTAGGTGAACTACAACTCCAAAGCTCAAGGTCAGTGCTTACCGAACCCTTCTAGTATTTCTAGTATTTTCTGTTAGTCATGGGAGTTCTGTGCGCCAAGTTTGGTTCAATTCAATCATTGGTGGAGTTCTGAATGCTCTTTGATTGTAGGTGAACTATAAATCCCAGCAAGTACAACTCCCAAATGCCAAGGTCTATTTCCCCCAAACTCCACTAGTGTTCACATTTGGGCATATTGAGTATTTGTGCCAAATTTGGTCCTGATCCATCATTGTTTGAGTCCACAGATGTAGGTGAACTACAACTCCCAAACTCAAGATCCATGCCCACCAAACCCTGCTAGTGTTTTCTGTTGGTCATGGGAGTCCTGTGTGCCAAGATTGGTTCAGTTCCATCATTGGTGGAGATCAGAATGCTCTTTGATTGTAGATGAACTATAAATCCCAGCAAGTACAACTCCCAAATGACAAAATCAGTTCCTCCCCCCAACCCCACTAGTATTGAAATTTGGGCATATTGGGTACTTGTGTCAAATTTTGGTCCAGTGAATGAAAATACATCCTGCATATCGGATATTTACATTACGATTCGTCACAGTAGCAAAATTACATTTATGAAGTAACAATGAAAATAATTTAATGGTTGGGGGCCACCACAACATGAGGACCTATATTACGAGGTCACCACATTAGGAAGGTTCTTGTGGGTTTTTTCGGGCTATAGAGCCATGTTCTAGAGGCATTTCTCCTGACGTTTCGCCTGCATCTATGGCAAGCATCCTCAGAGGTAGTGAGGTCTGTTGGAATTAGGACAATGAGTTTATATATCTGTGGAATGGCTGGGGTGGGGCAAAGAGCTCTTCCCTGCTGCAGCTAGGTGTGAATGTTTCAACTGATCACCTTCATTAGCATTTGAAGGCCTGCCTGAGCCTGGGAAAAATTACAACAGCAAAACAGCAGAGAGGAAACAACCAGGCACATCTTAACACCTCTCAACATAAGATTTTCCAGGCTCAGCCAGGCCTTCAAATGCTAATGAAGGTGGTCAGCTGAAACATTCACACCTAGCTCCAGCAGAGAAGAGCTCTTTGCCCCACCCCAGCCATTCCACAGATATATAAACTCATTGTCCTAATTCCAACAGACCTCACTCCCTCTGAGGATGCTTGCCATAGATGCAGGCGAAACGTCAGGAGAAATGCCTCTAGAACATGGCCATATAGCCCGAAAAAACCCACAAGAACCTAGTGATTCCAGCCATGAAATTAGATGAATACATGGAAGTTTGTGAGTAAACAATGTTCTCAATCCTCTAAGTCAGGGGCTGGGAAGCTGGACTCTGGAGGAAACCTCAAATGGGTTTCTCAGTTTGCTGCCAAAATTTGGTGTCAAACCACTGGTACTCGCAGTGTAATTGATAAGCATAAGCAATTGCCTTAATTCCAATGGGAAGCCCTGCGGAAATCTTGGTCAAACCAGCATTTTACAGTTTAGCCACTCAGTTGCAGCTGGTCGAGTGGAAATCATTCTACAGTGAATTAAAACCACTTTATCATTAATTGAATTTATTCTGTAATGAATCATTTTTTGATCCTCAAAGAATTGCAGTTACTACAAGAAAATGCAGTAAATAAATGAGTCTTTTCAAATAACTATTTTTTGATTAAAAGTATAATTTGTAATACTAGCATTAATATATTTATATTAATATTGTTATATTTATATTGTTAATGTTTATTGCTATTTTCTGTTTATGAGTTTATTTATTGTTGTATTACTGTTGCTATGTTTTATTGTTGTATTGTGGGCTCGGCCTCATGTAAGCCGCACCGAGTCCCTTGGGGAGATGGTAGCGGGGTACAAATAAAGTTTAATTTTAATAATTTTCTTTTCTTTTTTCTTTTTGTCATAAGAATATATGGGGGGGGGGGGCAGGGGACAATTCCAACTTGTCTCCTGTGCTATTCTAATAATATAATATATATTGTATATACATTTAATATTTATAATATTATAATGTAATGCAATATAATACTAACAATAATATATTGTAATTATATTTTATATTACATGTAATATTACTAATAATATTCCAATATAATTGGTATAGTACAATATAGCACTGTTTAATGCTGACATTGTACTATGCTAGTAGTATAGTGAATTGTATGTGTGTATATATACCTTGTAAGCCACTCTGAGTCCCCTTCGGGGTGAGAAGGGCGGCATATAAATGTCGTAAATAAATAAATAGAAAATAAAAATATTATTTTACTCATTATTATTACATTTACATTTTATTCTATTTGTTATTGTTATTACATCTATTATTTATTCTATTATTGTTACATTTATTATTTACTGTTATTATTACATTTATTATTTTGCTTTATTGTTATTACATCTATTGTTTTACTCTATTCTTATTGGAAGGATGCAAAAGCACAATTACATTGGAGAAGGTTAAAATAATGGTTTAATTAGAATTGGACAGTCTTATATTAAATTACATTTTTATGTAAATATTCAAAAGCATTTAACCTCCTGATGCCTCGATTAATGTAATTTTATTGGTATCTATATTTATTTTGAAATTTACCCATAACTGCTGCCGTTCTCACCTTCCTCTTAGACTCAAGTCAATACGTTTGCCCAGTTTTTTGCGGCAAAATGGGGTGCCTTTGCTTATATGTGGGTCGGCTTATACTCAAGTATATATGGTAATATATATGATATATGGTATATGGTATACCATATATGGTAATATATATCAGGTAGGTAATGGTTTTTCCATCGCATTAAGTCCAGTCGTGTCCAACTCTGGGGTGTGGTGCTCATCTCCATTTCTAAGCCGAAGAGCCGGCGTTGTCCATAGACACCTCCAAGGTCATGTGGCCGGCATGACTGCATGGAGCGCCGTTACCTTCCCGCCGGAGCAGTACCTATTGATCTACTCAGATTCGCATGTTTTCAAACTCCTAGGTTGGCAGAAGCTGGGGCTGACGGCGCTCCATGCAGTCATGCCGGCCACATCACCTTTGAGGTGTCTATGGACAATGCCTGCTCCTCTGCTTAGAAATGGAGATGAGCACCAGAGTCCCAGAGTCGGACACGACTTGATTTAAAAACCTTTACCCATTATTATTATTATTTTCTCGCTGGAGTGATACCTATTGATCTACTCACATTTGCATGCTTTTGAACTGCTAGGTTGGCAGAAGCTAGGGCTGACAGCGGAAGCTCACGCCGCTCCCCGGAATCGAACCTGCGACCTTTCGATCAACAAGCTCAGCAGCTCAGCGCTTTAACCCACTGCGCCACCGGGGACTCCTAATATATATATATATATATATATATGAATGTTGCAAATAAATAAATAAATAATATTTCCTTGATATGCTCAATATCAACTTCAGTGAACGTTGAAGTTTAATATAAATCAGATCATTTGCGATGTGAAATGAGTGCCTTCCAAGCGTGATGTCAGAGTAGATTCATAGGAAGTTAGAGAAGGGTTCGTCGCATAAAACATTCCTCCTGTTTGCACATATAATTGTGTCCGTTGCATGGTAGGGATGCTTGCACTAATAAAGCGACGCCTTGTGTTTTGTTTTGTTTTTTCCAGCGAAAGATGTCGTGTATATCTGTCCATTTATGGGAGCCATCAGTGGGACGCTGACAGTGACAGACTTCAAAATGTATTTCAAGAACGTTGAAAGGGTGAGACCTTGTTCCTTCCTGCGCATCCTTCCTCTTTCAATTAGGACGTTCCCTTGTATTTTCCCCCAGAGAACGGGCTGGCGTTTGTCATCTCAGTGTAAAGCGCTGTGGCACTTTGACGTGTCCCACTCTCTATAAGTGTATGTTTTTATCTCATGCGGACTATCAAACGCTAAATATCTGTTCTTAGCTGCAGTAAATAAGCGCGGTGTTTTCTTTCCCTTCCAATTCCAGGATCCACATTTTACTCTTGACGTTCCTCTTGGAGTGATAAATCGGATTGAAAAGATTGGAGTGCAGAGCCACGGAGACACCTCCTGCGGGATTGAAATTGTTTGCAAGGTATTGGCTTAAATATGAAGGTGGTGATTTGGAATACTCTCCTGTGTGTGTGTGTGTGTATTACTTAGTTACTTAGGCGATCCCTCGATGTCCGAGTAGGATGGTCTTCCAAGGTCAGTGTCCTGGCAGTGGGTCCGTAGGTGGCTGTGGAGCCCTCTTCTTGATTTGCATCTTCTCCCGCAGTGGCAGGGCTCAGGTTGCATTGCAGCAGGTGGTCAGTGGTTTGCTCTTCTCCACACTCGCATGTCGAGGATTCCACTTTGTAGCCCCATTTCTGAAGGTTGGCTCTGCATCTCGTGGTGCCAGAGCGCAGTCTGTTCAGCGCCTTCCAAGTCACCCTGTCTTCTGTGTGCCCAGGGGGGAGTCTCTCATCTGGTATCACCCATGGATTGAGGTGCGTTTGAGCCTGCCACTTTTGGACTCTCGCTTGCTGAGGTGTTCCAGCGAGTGTCTCTGTAGATCTTAGAAAACTATTTCTTGATTTAAGTCGTTGACGTGATGGCTGATACCCAAACAGGGGATGAGCTGGAGATGTCTCTGCCTTGGTCCTTTCACTATTGGCTGCTACTTCCCGGCGGATGTCAGGTGGTGCAATACCGGCTAAGCAGTGTAATTTCTCCAGTGGTGGAGGGCGCAGGCACCCCGTGATAATGCGGCATGTCTCATTAAGAGCCACATCCACTGTTTTAGTGTGGTGAGATGTGTTCCACACTGGGCATGCATACTCAGCAGCAGAGTAGCATAGCGCAAGGGCAGATGTCTTCACTGTGTCTGGTTGTGATCCCCAGGTTGTACCAGTCAGCTTTCGTATGATATTGTTTCTAGCACCCACTTTTTGCTTGATGTTCAGGCAGTGCTTCTTGTAGGTCACGGCACAGTCCAGAGTGACTCCCAGGTGTTTGGGTGCGCTGCAATGCTCTAGTGGGATTCCTTCCCAGGTAATAATCCTCAGAGCTCGGGATGCTTGTCTGTTCTTGAGATGAAAGGCACATGTCTGTGTTTTAGATGGATTAGGGATCAGCTTGTTTTCCCTGTAATAGGCAGTAAGAGCACCTAGAGCTTCGGAGAGCTTCTGTTCAACCATCTCAAAGCTCCCTGCTTGAGCGGTGATGGCACGATCATCAGCATAGATGAAGCTCTCTGTCCCTTCTGGCAGTGGCTGGTCATTTGTGTAGATGTTGAACATGGATGGAGCAAGCACGCTCCGCTGAGGCAGGCCGTTCTTCTGTTTCCGCCATCTGCTTCTCTGGCCCTGGAACTCAACAAAAAGCTCCTGTTTTGTAGCAGGTTTCCTATGAGGCGGGGTGAGGTGGTCGTCCTTTGTGATATTATACATTTTTCTCCGGAAAATTTTTTAACAATATCATAAGCAGCTGAGTTTGGAGTTGTAGTTCACCTACATCCAGAGAGCATTGTGGACTCTTACAATTATTATTTTTATTTTATTTAAAAGTTTTGTATACCGGCCTTCTCACCTCTCTTGAGGGACTCAGACCGGTTTCCAACCATAATATCACATACAATCAATAAAACATCATAATACATATTACAGTAAAACATTAAAACAGCAATTACAATCAATAACTATAATGGTCAGTCGTCACACTAAAATCGTTGCTCATCATCCTCCATCTATATCTCAGGGTGTTGGCTCACTCGTCGAATGCCTGTCTCCATAACCAAGTCTTCACCTGTTTCCTAAATGTCAGGATAGACGGGGCGGTTCTGATCTCCGGTGGGAGAGAGTTCCAGAGTCGAGGGGCCACCACGGAGAAGGCCCTGTCCCTCGTCCCCTATTACACGAAAGAATAACAAAAGCAGAAAATAAAATACATAAAATGCAAAACCAATGTAATAAATGAACAGCAAAAGCAAATCCAACATTAAAATCCAGAGGTCTTCAGCTTAACTACACTGTTTTGTCCAGCGGGACTTGAGTGACCTTTGTTTTGGGTTTCCACAGAGAGTCTTGGTCCCAATTTCCAACAGACACCAAGAGTCCACCGCACCTATTAGCTGTACACGCAGCCATGCAAAAAAAAGCTCCCCTTGTTTCAGCCACAATTGTGCAGCATTATTTCCCTCTTAACTGACTGACCATCAAAGCTCTCTTTTCCCCAGGATATGAGGAACTTGCGGCTTGCCTATAAACCGGGAGAAAACAGACTGGAGATTTTTGAGCACCTCATTACTCGAGCATTTCCTCTTTCTCACGGGCTTGTAAGTATTTGGATGAGGAGTTCCCTTGCCCCCATGCTTTTCAACATCTACATCAGTGGTTCTCAACCAGGCTAATGCCGTGACCCCTTAATGCAGTTCCCTATGTTGTGGTGACCCCCAACCATATTATTGTTTTCGTTGCTACTTGATACCTGTCATTTTAGTACAGTTATAAATCGTAATGTAAATTTCCGATATGCAGGATGTATTTTCATTCACTGGACTAAATTGAGCACAAATACCCAATATGGCCAAATGTGAATGCTAGTGGGGTTGGGGGGAGGATTGATTTTGTAATTTGGGAGTTGTAGTTGCTGGGATTTATAGTTCACCTATAATAAAACAGCATTCTAAACTCCACCAGCGATGGATTTAAACCAAACTTGGCACGCAGAACGCCCATGACCAACAGAAAGCACTGGAACGGTTTAGTGGGCATTGACCTTGAGTTTAGGAGTTGTAGTTCACCTATATCCAGAGGAGTGCTGTGGATTCTTGCAATGATGGATCTGGACCAAACTTGGCACAAATACTCAGTATGCCCAAATGTGAACTCTGGTGGAGTCTGGGGAAAATAGACCTTGACATTTGGGAGTTGTAGTTGCTGGGATTTATAGTTCATCTACAATCAAAGAGCATTCTGAACTCCACCAACAATAGAATTGGGTCAAACTTCCCACACAGAATCCCATTGACCAACAGAAAATACTATGTTTTCTGATGGTCTTTGACGACCCCTTTGACACCCCCTCATGACCCCCTCAGGGGTCCCGACCCCCAGGTTGAGAAACACTGATCTACATGAAACCGCTGGGAGAGGTCGTCCGGAGTTTTGGAGTTGGGTGCCATCTCTACGCAGATGACACGCAACTCTACTCTTTTCCACCTAACTCCAAGGAAGCCCCTTGGGTATTGGATGAGTGCCTGACCGCTGTGGCTGTGTGGATGAGGGTGAATATGCTAAGGATCAATCCTGACAAGACATAGGTCCTCCTGGTCAATTGTAAGCCGGATCGGGGTATAGGGTGGCAACCTGTGCTCGATAGGGTTGCACTCCCCCTGAAGTCGCAGGTCCGCAGTTTGAGGGTCCTCCTAGACTTGAAGCCCAGGTGGTGGCTGGGAGGGCCTTTGCACAATTAAGACTCGTGCGCCAACTGCGACCGTACCTCGTGAAGCCGTATCTGGCCAGGGTGGTCCATGCCTTAGTCATCTCCAGATTGGACTACTGCAATGCACTCTATGTGGGGCTACCCCGAATTCTGATGAGAAAGTGGTAGTAAAGTGTGCTTTTCTTTCCCTTCCTTCAGCCGTTCTTCACCTTCAGCTATCGAGAGAAATTTCCCACAAATGGCTGGAAAGTTTACGACCCAATCGCGGAATACAAGAGGCAGGTTGGTAATGATGGTTTTCACTTTTTGTTGCTCTCTCTGTCATTTGAGCTGGTGAGAAAGGCAGGATATAAATGAATAGGAGCCCGCTGAGCTTCTGACCCAGTCACATCTTGAGCTTTATATAGACTCGCCTATTCAGAGCATGTATTGAGCTTGTGTAACTTTTCATAAGGTCCATTTTTTTACTATGAGAGTGTTGAGCACAGTTCTGTGGACACTCAAAGACATCTTCTCCGCAGGGTTTACCCAACGAGAGTTGGAAAATATCCAAAATCAACAGCACGTACGAATTTTGTGACACGTATCCTGCCATCCTTGTTGTGCCAACGAGCGTAAAGGATGACGACCTCTCCAGAGTCGCAGCCTTCAGGGCAAAAGGCAGAGTTCCGGTCAGTATGTGCACAATGAGATCGATAGCAATTCCTCTTTGAAATGTATTTCTGTGTCGTTCATACTTTGTACACAAAAGTCCATAATGAAGCATGCTACCTTCAGTCAGCTCCAAAGCCCAGAGCAGCGCTTAAATATTTATTGCCAAACTAGCTGTGCCCTGCCATGCGTTGCTGTGTCTTATAGTAAGAATTTTCGAAGTAGATATCTGGAGTATTATGAAAGAGAGGTACCTACCTATTCCTTCCCCCCTTTTTCTTCCCCTTTTTCTCCTTTCTTCCTTCTCTACCTCTTTCTTTCATTCCTTCTTTCACTCTGGTTTCATCCTTCCTTCTCTCTTTCCTTCCTTCCCTTTCACTACTTCTTTGTCTCCTTTCTTCCCTCCCTGTTTCCTTCCTTCTTTCACTTTTTATTTCCTTTTCTCCTTCCTTCCTTCTTTCCTTTCTTTCCTGCCTTTCCTCCCTTTTTCTTTCCCTTTTCTCTTTTTCCTTCTTTGTACCTCTTTCCTTCCTTCCTTCCTTCTCTCCTTCCTTCCCTCCTTCCTTCTTGTCTGTTCTCCATCAATACCATGGTAGAGTCCCTTCTAACTCTATTCTATGAGTCTATTGAATATAGTAATATCTAGTAGCAACATTATATTATATAGTAGTATATATAAAATAATATATATTATATAGAAATATATATAATAGTAATATATGAAGTATTGTTATAGATATATATGTGTGTGTGTGTGTATATATATCACCAACCAGTGATCCAACATCCATCCATATATGTGTGTGTGTGCATGCGGGTGTGCGCGGATGTGTCTACACTGCCATATAATCCAGTCCTAAGTAGATAATCTGGATTTTACATGGCAGTGTGGAAGGGTTGACTTTGGGTGCATCTACACTGTAGATTTAATAAAGGAGAATGAAGCTGGTGAGGGGAGGAGAAAATCTATTTTCTGTCGTTTTGAAAGTGGTTTTTTGGCATATGTAAGCATGAGTCCCCTTTCAGGGGGAGAAGGGCAGGGTATAAATATAGGAAATAATAAATCTATATAAATAAAATTGTAATGTTCGTTTGTGGGATTTATTTAATATTATGCTATTTTGCTTTGCTTACTCTAGTCTGTTATTGTGTCTATTTTATTGTGATTTTTTTGTTGTTGTTTGCATTTTGTATTTTATTTTGCTGTATTGTATTTTTGGGCTTGGCCTCATGTTAGCCGCCCGGAGTCCCCCTCAACGAGATGGTGGCGGGGTATAAATAAAGATTATTATTATTATTATTATTATTATTATTATTATTATCTCCATGAAATGTGTTGTTGAATGAAGTGCCATTGGGACCGCCTCCACTGTAGCTGGGACCACCTCCCTCAAGTCCTTCCTTGCCGAACTTGTCGAAGATTTCGCGTTTCTTGGGGTCACTGAGCACATCGTAGGCCTCGACGATCTCTTTGAACCACTCCTCAACGTGGAAGTCTTTGTTCTTGTCCGGGTAGTAGCTCAGCGCCTGCTTCCGATAGACCTTCTTAAGGTCATCATCACTGTCCCCATGGGACAGGCCCAGGGTGCAGTAACAGTCCTGCCCATGGCCCACACTCACCGCCTTGGGTTCAAAGAACCATGTTGCAGTCCAGGACAGGAAAAGCCTCTGACTTTAAATACGACACCGTTGGAGGATGGAAAACAATCCTTTTATTGAAGATAATTAAAAAGCAGTAAGGTAAAAAAGCACTTTAAAGAAATAGGTAAATCCAATTAGGTAGGAAGATAAGCAGGAACAAAGTAGTCCAGGGTAATAGTCCAGCAAAGTCCATAAAAAAAGTCAAAACTTCCCAAATAAAATGCAAGAAATCAGGAAACATGAATCCAAGGCATGAATATAGAAGCATAAAATCCAAGAATCAAAACCATGAAACAAAGGCACTTAAAACATGAATTTTCCAAGCAAAGCTTCCATGAACAAGGACGAGATCTTGACTTGATTCCAAACGATGCTTCATCTGACTACATATCCTGTACTTGGGACTTTTATCTCCTCGTTAGCTATGTCTCTAGCACTCAGAAATTGGTTTCGCTTTAGCTGAGAATTTCTTATCTTTTTCTCTCGGAGCCTGGCAGAACACCGAAGCCACTGTTCGGCTCTCCTGTTTTGACTGATCTCCTCCCGTCTATCTATTTGCTCATTAATTTCTGCAGCTGGGCCAGGTGCCGAGCTGTTTCCATGTTCCCTATCATGGAATTCTCTGGTAGCAATTCAAGGAGTGCACCATCATCCCCACACCCTTCAGGGACATTCTCATGGGAAACTACACTTTGAACAGGGATCTCCTGGTCATGCATTAATTTCTGCAGCTGGGCCAGGTGCCGGGCTGTTTTCATGTTCCCGATCATGGGAACTCTCTGGTAACAATTCAGAAAGCATGTCATTATCCCCACACCCTTCAGGGACATTTTTATGGGAAACTACACTTTGAACAGGGATCTGCTGGTCATTCATTAATTTCTGCAGCTGGGCCAGGTGCCGAGCTGTTTTCATGTTCCCAATCATGTTTTTTAAGAATCCCACCCCCCAATACCCCTCATGAGCATGCCTTTTTTGAACGCAGGTGTTGTCTTGGATCCACCCCGAAAGCCAGGCCACGGTCACGCGCTGCAGCCAACCTCTGGTCGGCCCGAACGACAAGCGCTGCAAGGAAGACGAGAAGTACTTGCAGACCATCATGGATGCCAACGCTCAGTCTCACAAACTGTTCATCTTCGACGCCAGGCAGAACAGCGTCGCAGACACAAATAAGGTAGAATTCGTAGGGAAGAGTTTTTGGGGAAAGTGTATTACTCTCTTTCTCTCTGTGTGTATTTCCTAATGTTAAATCCTGACCTGATTTTGCTTCCAGGCCAAAGGGGGTGGGTACGAAAGCGAAGGGGCCTACCCCAATGTGGAGTTGGTCTTCTTGGAAATCCCCAACATCCACGTGATGCGAGAGTCCCTGCGCAAGCTGAAGGAGATCGTGTACCCCACCATTGATGAGTCTCGGTGGCTGTCCAACGTGGAAAGTACACACTGGCTGGAATATATACGGGTATTTATTTATCGTGTCAGGATCAAACAGACAGTTGTATTGCATTTTTAACAAAACAAACAAACAGACAAAACACCAAGTTTGCAAGCTTGGTATTCTATTAAATGTCCTTTGACCAGTCTCTGGCCCCTTGGAGTGCCTCTGGTGTTGCCGCAAGAAGGTCCTCCATGGTGCATGTGGCAGGGCTCAGGTTGCATTGCAGCAGGTGGTCAGTGGTTGGCTCTTCTCCACACTCGCATGTCGTGGATTCCACTTTGTGGCCCCATTTCTGAAGGTTGGCTCTGCATCTCGTGGTGCCAGAGCACAGTCTGTTCAGCGCCTTCCAAGTCGCCCAGTCTTCTGTGTGCCCAGGGGGGAGTCTCTCATTTGGTATCAGCCATTGGTTGAGGTTCTGGGTTTGAGCCTGCCACTTTTGGACTCTCACTTGCTGAGGTGTTCCAGCGAGTGTCTCTGTAGATCTTAGAAAACTATTTCTAGATTTAAGTCGTTGACGTGCTGGCTGATACCCAAACAGGGGATGAGCTGGAGATGTCTCTGCCTTGGTCTTTTCACTATTGGCTGCCACTTCCCGGCGGATGTCAGGTGGTGCGATACCGGCTAAGCAGTGTAATTTCTCCAGTGGTGTAGGGCGCAGACACCCCGTGATAATGCGGCATGTCTCATTAAGAGCCACATACTGTTTTAGTGTGGTGAGATGTGTTCCACACTGGGCATGCATACTCAGCAGAAGAGTAGCACAGCGCAAGGGCAGATGTCTTCACTGTGTCTGGTTGTGATCCCCAGGTTGTGCCAGTCAGCTTTTATATATTGTTTCTAGCACCCACCGTTTCTCAGCCTAACCGGCGACTCAACGCGGTTTACAACAACTTATAACAAACAACAGTATACAGTTTAAAAGCATAAAAACATAATCCACAATACATAATCCCCAGGTTGTGCCAGTCAGCTTTCTTATGATATTGTTTCTAGCAACCACTTTTTGCTTGATGTTCAGGCAGTGCTTCTTATAAATCAGAACCACAGTCCAGGGTAACTCCCAGGTATTTGGGTGCGCTGCAATGCTCCAGTGGGATTCCTTCCCAGGTAATAATCCTCAGAGCTCGGGATGCTTGTCTGTTCTTGAGATGAAAGGCACATGTCTGTGTTTTAGATGGATTAGGGATCAGCTGGTTTTCCTTGTAATAGGCAGTAAGAGCACCTAGAGCTTCGGAGAGCTTCTGTTCAACCATCTCAAAGCTCCCTGCTTGAGTGGTGATGGCACGATCATCAGCATAGATGAAACTCTCTGTCCCTTCTGGCAGTGGCTGGTCATTTGTGTAAATGTTGAACATGGATGGAGCAAGCATGCTCCCCTGAGGCAGGCCGTTCTTCTGTTTCTGCCATCTGCTTCTCTGGCCCTGGAACTCAACAAAAAAGCTCCTGTTTTGTAGCAGGTTTCCTATGAGGCGGGTGAGGTGGTCGTCCTTTGTGATATTATACATTTTTCTCAAGAGGAGGCAGCGGTGGTTCACATTCTCATAAGCTGCGGACAGGTCTGTGAAGACTTCTTTTAAGTGATTTTTATTAATAGAATGTATGATTACAAGGAAAGTGGGGGAATATTTGTGGAGGAGATAGTAAAGTAGGAAAAGAGATATGTAAGAGAGTAATAACACAACCAATGAAAACGGAGGGAAAAAAATAAAAAGCTTGTGTCAAGACCCAGAAGGCACACGCTGAGTTACAACAGCTTGTCCATAGGATTTACAGATCCCCTCCAAAAATGTGGGGAGAAAAAGTGTGTGTGTGTGTGTGTGTATAGTGTGTATATATATAGGACTCCCATCTATTCTTTGAAGATACTGAATAATTTTTTTCTCCTATATTATTAGTAAAATAAAAAGATTCTTCCCTCTTTCAGTTCTTCTTCAACTTCTGATTAGTCTTTTCAAAGGATAATCTCTATTTTTTGTTGTTTAAAATAGCTTTTTACCATGTCCCAGTTTGTATATTTCTTTGGTGTTCCTTCATTTGGCCAATACGTGATTTTGTCCATGTTCATTACTTCCAATATTTTATGTTGCCGGATCCCCTTCCCGATTTTTTCACTGCCCTATCTCCCAGTGTTTTCAATTATAATCCTTGAATTCGCCCTGCCCACTGTGATCATTCTTAGTGTTTAATGTTTTGATTTTTTACTGTTGAAACTTCCAGTGTTGTTTTCTCTTTTTTGTCCCGTTCAGCGGTCTGTAAGTGTCGATGTGTCTTGTCAGGTATACTAGACCTGGAAAATAAGTTGGGTAATATTTCTTCCCCTTCTTCCTCCATTGGGCAGTTTTGGCAGCGGTCAGATTGCGCCTTGACCTTTTCAGACCTAAACGGTTCCGGCCCTGCTTACCTCTCCGAACGCATCTCCACCTATGACTACAACAGAGGAGATTCCATCTGAACATTAGGAAGAACTTCCTGACTGTGAGAGCCGTTCAGCAGTGGAACTCTCTGCCCCGGAGTGTGGTGGAGGCTCCTTCTTTGGAAGCTTTTAAGCAGAGGCTGGATGGCCATCTGTCAGGGGTGATTTGAATGCAATATTCCTGCTTCTTGGCAGGGGGTTGGACTGGATGGCCCATGAGGTCTCTTCCAACTCTTTGATTCTATGATTCTATGAACCGATTAGGACATTAAGATCGTCTGGGGAGGCCCTGCTCTCGATCCCGCCTGCGTCACAGGCGCGTTTGGCGGGGACGAGGGACAGGGCCTTCTCGGTGGTGGCCCCTCGGCTGTGGAATGCCTACCTGTAGACATCAGACAGGCCCCTTCGCTGTTGGCGTTCCGGAGGAAGGTTAAGACTTGGCTTTATGAACAAGCATTTGGCTAAACAGGAAGACGGTAAAATTGAACATAGGAAAATGGTACAAGGATTATGAGAACAGATTCTGATTTGCTATTGAGGCGTTATGATATGATAATGATTGTTTTTGATTTTGTCTGTTATGTATAATGTGTTTTAATTGCTTATGATATTGTTGTGATAACTTGTATTATGTAAACCGCATTGAGTCGCCTAACCGGGCTGAAAAATGCGGTATAGAAATAAAGCAAATAATAATAATAATAGTAATAATAATAATAATAATAATATTTGCGGAGGGCAGGCCTTTCAGCAGGTTGGGGCCAAGTTCTGTGTCCAGAAGTGATAACTTGTAATGTCCCTGAATGGTAATGCTAGGCTAGGTGAGCCTTGAGTGCAACCCTTCCTGTGTCTTTAGCGAGAGGAGCTCATCTATTCACGCTTCTGTCTCTGAATTGTCCCTCTCTTGGAAGATGCTTCTTGCTGGTGCCGTGAGGATCGCTGACAAGATCGAGTCTGGGAAGACGTCGGTGGTGGTCCACTGCAGCGACGGCTGGGACCGTACGGCGCAGCTGACCTCTCTAGCCCTGCTCATGCTGGACAGCCACTACAGGACCATCAAAGGCTTTGAGGTCCTCCTCGAGAAGGAATGGATGAGCTTTGGGCACCGTTTTGCCATGGTAAGCATCAGACCTCACTTCCCAGATTGAACAGTTGGGCACCTTGGTTTGGAGGAAGGAAGAATTTCCTTGGGAATTAGAAGAAGCAGTTCTGACATCCAGGATATCTTGCGCAAACAATCCTCATTATTATTGTTACTAGCTGTACCTGGCCACACGTTGCTGTGGCCCTCAGGAAACAGAAGATTTGCAGACATGAAGCAATCTGGGCTAGGGAACTCCTCCACCAAAGTAGTAGGAGCCAGGCTGTTAAGGTGCAAGGTGGTATGGGAAATAAAGTAATGAGAAGCAGCCAGGCTTTTCAGTTATATTCATGCTGGCCGAAACACTCCAGAAAGCCTCTTTGAAACAGAGGCTGGGTGGCCATCTGTTGGGGGTGCTTTGAATGTGATTTTCTTGCTTCTTGACAGAATGGGGTTGGCCTGGATGGCCCAACTCTAAGGACTCCCTGATTCTCTATTCTCCCAACTCTAGGACTCCCTGATTCTCTATTCTTCTCTTCCCTCACCGTTTCGCCCTTCCTTCCTTCCTTTCTTTCCTTCTTTCTTTCTTTCTTTCTTTCTTTCTTTCCTTTCTTCTTTCTTTCTTTTTCTTATCTTTCTTTTCTCTTTCTTTCTTTTCTTCTTTCCTTTTCTTCTTTCTTCCTTCTCTTTCTTACTTTCCTTTTTTTTTCTTCCCTCCCTCCCTCCCTCCCTCCCTCCCTCCCTCCCTCCCTCCTTCCTTCCTTTCTTCCTTTCTTCCTTTCTTTCCTTCTTTCTTTCTTTCTTTCTTTCTTTCTTTCTTTCTTTCTTTCTTCCCTGCCTCTTCTCTTCCTTTCCTCTCCCATCCCTGCCTCCTTTCCCTTCCTTCCTCTTTCTTCTAAATTTCCTTCCATTCATAATCTTCTCTTCTCTTCACCAATCCTTTTCTTCCTTTATACTCTCCTTTCCCTTTCTTTCCCCTCCTTCCTGCGGACAGTTTGTAAGGGGTTTTAAAGTGTTTTTTTTTTGGGGGGGGGGGGGGGGGGGGGGGGGGGGGGGGAGAAAGGCAGGATGTGGAGCCCAAGTGGGAGAGTTACTGGCCTTCTCATGGTTCGCATCCTCCCTTCACCCAACGGTATGCAGCCGCTCCTGCAGCCAGGCTTGCCTTGCAATCCTCTGGTCTTAGGGGAAGAGTTGCCTGGTAGCCACGTGGGCCTCATGGAGCTGCTGCGGTGGCTCCAGCTGCTGCCGGGGCTTGCCTCGCCAAGCCCCCACCCCTCTGTTGGGCCAGGCCTTCTCCTTCTTTCCCTCTTTCCTTTCCTCAATCCCTTCCTGCATGGAAAGGGACTCCATGGCGAGGCTTCTCTTCCCTCACAACGGTTGGTGCTTCATTCTTCTCGCGCAGTGGAGAGAAGGACTTTTGTGCATGCTCTGTAAGCCATTTTTCTTTTTGGGGAGTTTTAAGTTATTTCCCCTTCATTTTTTTTACAGTTTTTTTTTTGTTTGTTTGAAAGACATAGATCGGATTAGAATGTGTTTTGCTGCCGAATTTGATGTCATTTTGTCCAGTGGTTTTTAGTATGTTAATCCCACAAATGAACATTACATTTTTATTTATATAAGATTCTTTTTGCCCCATTAGCGGGTGGGTCATGGCGACAATGACCATGCTGACGCTGACAGATCCCCCATCTTCCTTCAGTTCATCGACTGCGTTTGGCAAATGACAAAACAGGTGAGATACTCTTTATGATACTGTTGATATTTCTAATGCACATAGGATCCGCTCCAAGATTCCTTCAGGCAGGTCTTAAAACTTCACTGCCTCTTTTATTATATGTTTTTTATATATATTTGAACGTTTGCCTTGTGAATAAAGGCTCTGCTTTTTTCCCCCTTCACAAAGATGTAACACAACCTTTCTTTCGTTGTTTCAGTTCCCAGCCGCCTTTGAATTCAACGAGCTGTTTTTGATCACCATTTTGGACCACCTTTACAGCTGCCTCTTTGGCACCTTTTTGTACAACTCTGAACATCAGCGAGTTAAAGAGGTAAGTCCTCTGTGTCCGAAAGGAGACGTCGAGGGTTTTTTGCTTTCTCCGGTAGAGCTGAATGTCTTCAAATACGAGGGGCGTTCAGGAAAGGTTTCCCCTGACCCACTTCCTGTGGACAGAGAGCAATGCAACTTCATAATAATAATAATAATAATAATAATTTATTTATTTATTTTATTTATCGTGTCAGGCAACCAAACAGTTGTATTACATCTTTGACCAAACAAACAAACATACAAAAGACACAGAGTGTGCAAACTTGGTAGTTGATTAGATGTCCTTTGACCAGTCTCTGGCCCCTTGGAGTGCCTCTGGTGTTGCCGCAAGAAGGTCCTCCATTGTGCAGGTTGCATTGCAGCAGGTGGTCAGTGGTTGGCTCTTCTCCACACTCGCATGTTGTGGATTCTACTTTGTGGCCCCATTTCCTCAGGTTGGCTCTGCATCTCGTGGTGCCAGAGAGCAGTCTGTTCAGCGCCTTCCAAGTCGCCCAGTCTTCTGTGTGCCCAGGGGGGAGTCTCTCATTTGGTATCAGCCATTGGTTGAGGTTCTGGGTTTGAGCCTGCCACTTTTGGACTCTCGCTTGCTGAGGTGTTCCAGCGAGTGTCTCCATAGATCTTAGAAAACTATTTCTAGATTTAAGTCGTTGACGTGCTGGCTGATACCCAAACAGGGGATGAGCTGGAGATGTCTCTGCCTTGGTCCTTTCACTATTGGCTGCTACTTCCCGGCGGATGTCAGGTGGTGCAATACCGGCTAAGCAGTGTAATTTCTCCAGTGGTGTGGGGCGCAGGCACCCCGTGATGATGCGGCATGTCTCATTAAGAGCCACATCCACTGTTTTAGTGTGGTGAGATGTGTTCCACACTGGGCATGCGTACTCAGCAGCAGAGTAGCATAGCGCAAGGGCAGATGTCTTCACTGTGTCTGGTTGTGATCCCCAGGTTGTGCCAGTCAGCTTTTGTATAATATTGTTTCTAGCACCCACTTTTTGCTTGATGTTCAGGCAGTGCTTCTTGTAGGTCAGAGCACGGTCCAGAGTGACTCCCAGGTATTTGGTGTGCTGCAATGCTCCAGTGGGATTCCTTCCCAGGTGATCCTCAGAGCTCGGGATGCTTGTCTGTGTCTTTTAGAGGAAAAGACATGTCTGTGTTTTAGATGGATTAGGGATCAGCTGGTTTTCCCTGTAATAGGCAGTAAGAGCACCTAGAGCTTCGGAGAGCTTCTGTTCAACCATCTCAAAGCTCCCTGCTTGAGTGGTGATGGCACGATCATCAGCATAGATGAAGCTCTCTGTCCCTTCTGGCAGTGGCTGGTCATTTGTGTAGATGCTGAACATGGATGGAGCGAGCACGCTCCCCTGAGGCAGGCCGTTCTTCTGTTTCCGCCATCTGCTTGAATAATAATAATAATAATAATAAACTTTATTTATACCCCGCTACCATCTCCCGAGGGACTCGGTGCGGCTTACATGAGGCCGAGCCCACAATACATCAATGATAAAAGCAATAACAACAATTAATACAGACAATAAAATAAAACTCATAACAAAAATAAACAATAAACAATAGCAGTAACACAACGACGTTTAAAACCTATGGCTGGGCCAAATGTAATAATTAAAATTTAAGAATAATGCTGAGCATGAACAGATGAAATATGAACTAGGATAGAGTTTTCAGAGAGGGATGGGGCGTGCAGACATTTCCAGATCCATAGTAAAGTGCATATTTTGAGGGCATATTGCTGAGAGTTTTCCTTATTCTGGGAAGGCACACTGGAACAACCACATTTTCAGGCTCCTCCTAAAGGCTGCCAGTGTTGGGGCATGTCTGATGTCCTTAGGGAGTGAATTCCAGAGTCAAGGGGCCACCACCGAGAAGGCCATCTCCCTCGTCCCCACCAATCGCGCCTGCGATGCAGGTGGGATCGTGAGCAGGGCCTCTCCAGATGATGGGAGAGATCGTGTGGGTTCGTACACAGAAATGCGGTCACGCAGGTAGGCAGGTCCCAAACCATTCAGGGCTTTGTAGGTAAGAACCTGCACCTTGAATTGGGACGCGGAAAATGAATGGCAGCCAGTGGAGCTCCTTGAACAGGAGGGTTGACCGCTCCCTGTAAGTAGCCCCAGTTAACAACCTGGCTGCCACCCGTTGGATCATCTGAAATTTCTGGGCTGTTCCACGTAGAGTGCATTACAGTAATCCAATCTGGAGGTGACTAAGGCATGGACCACTCTGGCCAGATCCGCCTTCACGAGGTACGGTCGCAGTTGGCACACAAGTCTTAGTTGTGCAAAGGCCCTCCCGGCCACCGCCGACGCCTGAGCTTCAAGCGTAAGTGATGAGTCCAGGAGGACACCCAAACTGCGGACCTGTGACTTCAGGGGGAGTGCAACCCCATCCAGCACAGGTTGCCACCCTATACCCCGATCCGGTTTACGATCGACCAGGAGGACCTCTGTCTTGTCGGGATTGATCTTCAGCTTGTTCCTCCTCATCCAGATAGACACAGCGGCCAGGCACTCGTCCAGCACCCGAGAGGCCTCCTTGGAATTAAGTGGAAAAGAGTAGTAGAGTTGTGTGTCATCTGCGTAGAGATGGCACCTAACTCCAAAACTCCGGATGACCTCTCCCAGCGGTTTCATGTAGATGTTAAAAAGCATGGGAGACAGAATAGAGCCTTGCGGGACCCCACAGGTCAAAGGCCAGGGGTCCGAGCAGGCGTCTCCCAGCTTCACCATCTGAGATCGACCCTCCAGGAAGGACCGGAGCCATGACAAAACCATGCCCCCGAGACCCATCCCAGAGAGTCGTCCCAGAAGGATACCATGATCAATGGTATCGAAAGCCGCTGAGATGTCCAAGAGAACCAGCAAGGTCACCCTCCCCCTGTTCTGTGAACAGCACAAACGAACATTACATTTTTATTTATATAGATACGTTGGATCTCCCTCAACACACAATGTATGCAGTCGGTTTCGTAACCTGGGTCAACCAACCATTTTAATG